CTTTAGGGTTTACTCTTGATATACATTCTGTGGGTTTTGACAAATGCATAATGACACGTAGCCACTATAGTATCATATAGAATAATTTAATTGCTCCATCTCTTTATTCCTCCCTCCTTCCTTCTCCCCAAACCCTTGGAAACCATGATCTTTTTATTGTTTCTGTAGCTGTGCCTTTTCCAGAATGTCATTTAGTTGGAGTCATATAGTTTGTAGCCCTTTAAGACTGGCTTCTTTCATTTTACTAATGTGTCTTTTAAGTTTCTTCTATGTCTTTCACGGCTTGATAGATCATTCTTTTTACTGCACATATATTTTCAAGCTTACGTATATGTACTGTTCATTGTTTCTAAGAACGTTTAGAGCTTTAGCGTTTTAAACTTACATAGTTATGAAAGGAATAAAGCCAGCACAAAATAAGAATCAACTCAAAAAGATACATACACCCTATATTAACAGCAGCATTATTTATAATTGCCAAAACATGGAAGCATCCTACGTAACAATGCAGGATTTATAAAGGATTTCTTGATTGAAATATTAATATTTTATTCACTGATATTTTCAAAAGCTTAATATTTCCCGAAGGACTTAGAGATTTTAAGGAAGAAAATTTTGTTTTCATTTTCTGAATCTGTTCATTAGGAATTTTGCCTTTCTGTGCAAAGTCCTTTGCTAATTATTAGGTAGAGGATATAAAGAATGCTGTTTGGATTGAGCCTTTCTGAGTGGGTTTGTTTTTCATAGGAAGACAAAAGGTGCAAGTGACAGTCTAAGCTGTGGAATCCAATCCTGGAAAAGGACTTAGTTGGCAAATTGTGGAGGACTCTGTGGGCAGGACAGAATTTGATTTTATATTTGAGCAATGGAGAAGCATCATAGTTTTTGAGAAGAGGCAGGCACATGAATAGTTTTGAAATTTTGGGAGAATCTAGATTAGAACTGCTGTAAACTGCTGGAAGAAACTGAGATGGGGAATCAGGCTATGTGACCTTCTAAAGGTGAAGAGACGTAGTGGCCTGAAGATGGAAATGTTAGAGTTGGTAATGGGATTGTATCAGAGGAGTGGTGGACTTTTCATCATGGCAGGTAATGGGATGAAGCAAAGGATGATAAAGTCTTAAAGGGTAAGAGGCTGAAGAAGAATTTGGATTTGGGAGAGATTCTGAGACAGGACCTGGTGATGTGGTATGGGGAAGGTTGTTAATTCCAAGGCTTCTAGTTTGAGGGCACGGTGGTGCCATTATTAGAGGAGGAATACTGTAGGCAGAGGGAGTTTGTTAAGGAGATATAGTGAATTCTGGTTTGGACTTTTTAAGTTTATCATGCCCGTTGGCCCTTTAGGCTATATCCAGAGGGGGTCCTAAATAAGAGGGACATAGAATCTGGAGATGAAAATTTGTGTAAGTGGTAGTCTGGTGTGGATGAACACAGATTCTTATTTGTGATCATTGGTTAGGTGAAATTGCATGCATATATTGTGTGTTTATCTTTTTAGTAAAGAATCCATAGCATTCATTAGATTTTCAAAGGGTTCGTTATCCTAGAGAGTTTAAGAACCAGTGAGACAGAACAGAAAGACCCAAGAAGGAACCTTGGCAAGCAAGTAGTTTTAGGAGGTGGCAAAGAGGAAGCTGAGATAGGTGAGATGTAAAAGACTTGGGGAAAAGGGAAAAATGGCATGTAAGAGAGAAGTTGAAGCTGTACGCTTCATGATCTAATTAAGGTAAGTATCTATGTTGGATAAATTCAGCTTGAAACATTTTCTGAATGTGACTGAGAGGTCGTGAGGTCATCTCCATAGAGATCCTAATGGAAGCCTTGAGAGGGGAGAAGATGAGAAAAAATGTGTGAGCTGAGCGAAAGGAATGCCTGACTTTAGGTGTCCACAGTGGGCTAGCTACAGAAGAGTAAGAGGAGGTGTGGTCAGAGACCAAAGACCTGGGAGTCCACATTGTCAGCGGAGCTGGGGGACATAGTGGTCACTAGGGATCAGTAGTGAGGAATGTGGAGAGCACAGTGCAGCTGAAAGACAAGCTGTTGGGTTTGTTGACTTTCAGCTCTCCTAAAGAAAACATAGTTTTAACCAGAATTTCATTATGCTCACATTCCTGCTGGTACAGTATCCGGTCCTGTTAAGGTGTCTGTGATTACGGCAGGCTAGTCAGAACCACCATTTAGTCATCGCTTTTTGTTACTTTTGTTTGTTTTTAAGCATACATTAATTAGTCCTGTTAACCACACTGCAGAGCTGGTTGCTTTCAGTAAGTGGAAATTTGAGACACAGCAAAATTAATTTGCCCACAGATACCCAGCTGGGAAGTGATAGAGCATGTCTGCCTGGTACCTCAGTGATACTCAACCAAAGATCAGAGTTGAGAAAATACATGCTTTCAATAGGAGAAAATATCTATTGTCTGTTTTCTGTGTGATTCACTTTTTTAGCCTTTTACAAAACCTTTCATGCAAGGTCATTCACTTAGAATTCATTGAGCACCAGTTCTTTGCAAGGACTCAGGGGGCACCTGCCCTTCAGTAGCTCCTGCTCCAGACAGTGTGGTGCAGTTGGATGGGAGCCCGGAAGGCCCGTGGGGAGTCCTGTGGGGGCAGAAGGCCGGGTGGCGTGTGGCTGCCTGTGTCTGGCTTCACAAACCTTGGCAGCTGGGTGTGGATGTACGACTGGGAGTTTGCCTTGAGACGTGCACTCCAGGTAGAGCAGAATGCACATGCCAGGGCACAGAGGTCTGAGCATGACACATCCCATCTGGTCAGGAAAACCAGGAGTTGTCTCGGAAGGGAGGGCCTTGGAGAGAAGACTGGAGGGGAGGCAGCTGGGATGGGCAGGATTGAGTTCTGAAGGACTTTGTTTTCTCAGGAGCTGGGACTTGAGTTGGTGGGTGAAAGTCACTGAAGGATGCCCTTTTTCTGCTGGTTACTCATCAGATTTTGTGTTTCCCTTGTTGTCTCTCTGACTTTCTACCTACTGTACTTGTTCTCTTTTCTTTATGCTTCCTTAGGAATACTCAGTCAGTGGGTGTGATTTTTACCCCTTCTCCAGGGACACTGCGAAATGTATGTGGGTTTTGTTTTGCTTTTTGTTGTTACATTGATTGGAGGTGTTAATGGCCTTTGGTGTGTATGTGGTGGAGGTGGACGTGCCACACGACCCACGTGCAGTGTGCAGGCAGCACAGTCAGTCCCTGCAGCGGAGGAGCATCCTGTTAAGATGCCAGTGGTGTTTCCCTCCAGCCCATCCCCAAGAAACGCTGGGCCCTGGGCAGGTCCTGCCTTCCTGTGAGAGTCATCTCCTCCATGAACTTCCTTCTTACTCTGGGCTCTGGCACTCCGCCCATCCCTCCCTTGGAACTTTGCTGGGTTTTGGTACCACCTGGTTGAAAGGCAGGACCAGCGATAGTATAAATCCTCTACAGAGGCTCCAGACTAGATTCCTAGTTGTGCTGGCTTAACTGTTAATGTAACTTTTAGTAAAGAAGTCCCTTGTGTGGTTTTTGGAGCTCGAAGATGTGAGGAGACCATCTTACATGAGCAACAGAAAATCCAGTTTCTGAACAGCTTTGAGTGCAAGTAAAACGCAAAGAGAATTCATTTTGATATTAGTAACACCCCTAATAATGTGTTCCTGGTGGGGACTGCAGGTGATACGTCATTCTGCTGAATTTATTTTGTATGTTCTCAATTCTGAAGTATTAATAAAAATATTTTCTTGTAAAGCATCCAGGTTGAGTTTTCTGGGAACTACATATAGTTTATTCCTCACCTTGCTCTCAGCAATGTACCTACTAAGTAGAAGACGACCGATTGCCCAACAGACATCTCCAGCTACCCCACCCCTCTTGCAGCCTGCTCTGCCTGCCCACCGGCCTGACCCTGAGATGCTCTTTCTTCCTTTTTGCTTTTCTTTCCTCTTTCACTTCTTGGGGCTCCTGTACATTTGAAAACCAACATTATACATGTTGTCCAAGGTCTGTCTCAGATGCTGAGTGTTTCAGCATGCTCTGCGCTCTGAACCCATCTGTGGCTGGTGGGAGCTGGGGGTGGGGTGTAGGCGTAAAGTCTGCATGGACTTCACCGTGACCAGCTGACTAGCATTAGTTGCAAGCTTGTCTTAGGTGCTGTGGTTTCAGTCGTTTTCATCCTGACCTTTGCGGTATATATTTTTTTCACTTACAGGTAAGGAAACCAGGTCTCAGGTAACTTGCCCAGGGATCACAGGTTGTAAATGTATAACAGAACTGAGATTTGTTCTAGACCTCAATACGTGTCATTTTCCCCCCATGATCTACTCTAGACTTCCTGTGTTACAGCGAGTTACCTGGAAGCATGCTTCCTGCAGTCTGAGTTCCTGAATGTGTTGGCACCAAGGTATAAAATGATCGTCATGTGACCAACTTGGGCCTGTTGTGGAGATGCAAGATGCAAAATAGTAACTTTGAACATCAAGGGCTAATTGCCTTTTACAACTCTACGAAGTTCATTTCCTTATAAATAAGTTTGTGATCCTAATCTTTCCCTTGTGAAAATCAGTAGCCAAAGCCTTCTTGGTTTTGACTCTGAGAAATGAGTTTTGCGTTTTTCCTCTTAGACCACTCTGCATCTGTAGGTAGGGTGACTGTTCATTTCCAGGTAAAAGTTTGGGGCTTCATGACAGCTGGGTCTGAGAATCATAGATGAGGTTCAAGTCTCTAGGCTTCCTTCTTCTCAACTGATAGCTGTTTCCAGTGGATAGAAAGGAGCCTTCACTTGGACTGAGACTTCTGAGTGTATTCAAGAGGTATCCAAGGACCTTAGCTCCAGTCCTGCCATCCCACATCTCTGTGAGGATTGTCGGGGAGTCAGGGACTGCTGCAGAAATCATCTCCTTTACAACATTTACATTAATGTGTGCCAGAATTCATGAAGGTTGTGCTTGTAAAAAAAAAAGGAATATGGGAGACTGTATTTCTTTCACCATGTCCATTGTGTTGATGGGAAAGTAATTGACAGGTTAACCGAGTCTGTGATGAAATGAGCTTGGTCATGTGATGGACACAGGTTGGAGCAATGACTAAGAGCTGAAGTTCAAGGCCTAGTAGGGGAGGCAGGTGTGTCAGCAGATGCGTTCAATCAGGGTTAAAGATGCAGTCCTGAGGGCTGTGCAGGATTGAGGGACCGGGAGAAAGAGAAGACATGCTTCTACAGGGTTGGGTGTGAAGGGCAGTAAAGAGTTTTGGTTTCTTCCACTTCTCACAAATATTAACTCAAAATGTATCATAAACAGAAATAAAACGCAAAACTATAAAAATTCTAGAAGGTAACACAGAAGAAAACTAGGTGACCTTGAGTTTGGCAGTGAGATTTAAGATAATGTCAAAAGCACAATCCATGGATGAGCAAATGATCAGTTTGAATTCATTTAAGTTAAAAACTTCTCTGTGAAAGAATGAAAAGACAAACCACAGACTGAGAGGAAACATTTGCAAAAGACATGTCCACTAAAGAAATTTTATCTAAAATATACAAATACTGATTAAAACAATATCTTCAAAAGGAAGATATACTTATGCAAATAGACATAACAAGAACGCCAGCATCAGACATTATTACAGATTTGCAAATTATGAGATACCACTATACTCTTGTCAGAATGGACAACATCCAAAACACTGACAATACCTACTGCTGGTGAGGCTATGGCACAAGAGAACTCTCATTCATTGCTGGTGAGAATGCAAAATGATGTATCAACTTTTGGAAGACAGTTTGGGAGTCTTAGCTGAACATAAGCTCCACTATACAAGCCAGGTTTGTAATTGATCATTATTATTAACTGATAATAATTTTCTTATTTTGGGTTGTATGTATTTTCAAGTATCACTTGTGTAATTTTGAACAGCTAACCTTTTCCTCCTCCCCCTTGCTGGTCACAGATGTTATTCTTTTATGTTAATAGTGACTCCATTTTCTAGCATTTGTTCTGTTTCACAGCTGTATTAGTTGTTTGTATCTTTACTTCTCTTGGCAGCTTGATTTTGAAAGGTACCCTTCTGGAGTTGCAGTTAAATTCTCCCTAACTCTACTCCACCACCTCCCCTCCACCCCCCACCCCACCCCCCCGCCACGTCTTTTACCCTTTGTGAAAAAGAAATTAAAACACTCACATACTACGCAGATTTAACGATTCTTAATCTTTTGCCATATTTGCTTCATCTAATTGTTTTGCAGAATTTTTAAAAAGTAAATTACAAATACATAATTTCATAGTTGTAAATATTTCACTATGTATCTTTAAAAAATAAGACCAATTTCCTACATCATCCGAATATTATCATACTAACCAAAGTAACGGTAATTTTCCTTAATATTTCTTGTATCTAGTCCACATTCGTGTTTCTCAAATTGTCGTCTCTTTCACTGTTACTATTTTTCCAACGAGGATCCGATGAAGAATCAGATTTTGCAACATGTTATATCATAAAGTTAAACCCATATGTCTAGGAATTCAGGAAAAGTCGCCAGGGATCAGGTGAAATTGTCAAGAATTCAAGCTCACAAACCAAGCCAAAAAGCTTCAAAAATTATTTCCTGTGGTCTCAAAGATTTATGGGAAATGTAGTCCTGAATGTTTCGGGCCCACCGCTCAGCACTCTGGGAAGGGGTCCCGGGAGCTCAGTCAGCGCAAGCGCGCATCCCGCTCCGCCTTCGGTTCACCCCCTCCGCCTAAGTTGGGCTGGATCTCGGCGTCTGCAAGTGGTTGTCGGAGGCAAGGCTGCCACCGGAGGTGAGAGCATGGGGACCTGGCTCCGCGCGGCTTAGGGCCCTGCTGGGTCGGGTAGACCTTTGTTCGCGCTGACGGGAGCGGGAAGTCTCGGGAACCTCCAGCGGGCCCTCCCCTCCCCCAGCCCCGTGGGCCGGGCCGGCCCGGCCTGCTCGAGGTGGGCCTGAAATCCTGGTCGGGAGAAGGTGTTCGGTGCTGGCCGGATGCGGGTGCCGCCAGCGGCGGGACGAGAATGCGCCTTTGTAACGTTCTTGATGAACACGAGGCTACTAATCGTATCTTGTGCAGTTACTGTGAGAATAAAATAAATCTGCAAAAGATTTTGAGAAGTGATTGTAAGAATCTCTGTGTAAGCTGCTGTCATAAGACACTGTTCCCTTTGGCGTTTCGTTTAACCCTCATAACAAGTCTGCTTGTTATAAACATGCCTTTTTTTTTTTAATGAAAGGAATTTCCAGTGGGCGGAATGATATATACTCCAGGACACAAGCTGGTAGGTGAGAGGTTGCAAATACAAATAGATTTTACTCCCTGTCTCTTACTGTTCCTAATACCCTCCCTGCCCCCTACCGAGTTGCAAACTTAAGAGCTCTTGGCAGCCTGTCTCCAAATTCCCAAAGACATGGTTGTGAAGTGGCTGCAGACAGGACTCGCCATGTGGGAGATATGTACTGGGATTTGTGGGTTCCTCGCAGAGCCCCTGGTCAGAGTGAGGCTCTTGAAAGTTCCTGAACTGTCCAATCTGTCTCCGTTTTCAAAAGCAGTCTAATAATCTAATGCAGTGCTGCTGGCCAATAGAAAGACAATGCAAACCAAATGTAATTAAAAATTTTTCAGTAGCAACAGTAAAAAGTAAAAAGGGTGAAGTTAATTTTACTGATATATTCAATTACGTACATCCAAAATATTATTTTGACTTCAGGTGTGGTAGGTGAACGCAGCTAATGGCTGCATAATAGATGGTACATTTTTAGTGAATTCTAAAAGAGTCCGATTTCTAGTGTTGGATGAAGTTTCAAATAAGTGAACTTGTTCCTTTGGCCCCTCTGGAGTAAAGTAGCTCTTCTAAGATAGGAAAGAGGGAGTCGCAACAATAACTGCCACTTGGAAGAACAGCTCATCTGACAGACACCTCACCAGAGCTTCAGAGCAGAGGCAGAAAGTTCTAGAAAGGGGCAGATCTTGAGTTGCTCCATCAGAAACAGTTCTTGATCCCTGTATAGCATGACTGAAATTTGGTGAGTCAGACTTGGTGATGTCATCGCATGTGGAAACCATCACAGACTGTGACAGTGGACAGTGTAGACCGACTTGCAGAAGGTGGTAACCTGGGGTGGAGAGAGATGTCTGACCGTCAGGCCGCACCGGAAAAGGCTCTTCACTGGATGGCTAGTGAGGATATGATGTCCAGGCAAAGTATAAGCAGCCAGAGCTGATGAAATCATAGACAGCACCCCATTCCCTTCACTCTCCCCTCACTTTTTCCAGAAACTGAGCTGCACTCACACCATGAGAATAATTAGATGCCACATTTGGTGATGGACAGTAACATAGAAAAAAATTCCCTATGTTCCTGAACAGAGATAATAATAAAATGATAGTGGGTGAAGAGATTTCTGTATTGGCCATTTATAGAAGCCCCAAAATACTGGGTCTGAAACCAATGATTATTTATAGTCACACAGAGCAGAACCAAGCACAATGATGTTTACTTAACAAAGATAAGTACTATAACCATGTTATTAAAATATCTTTTAAAAAAAATGCATCCATTTTAGAACAAAGGATTAAAATATATATTTTTTGCATAATACATTCCATTTTTATTCAGCTCTAACTCATGGTATAAACTCAAAAAGAACTTGATTAACAACCCAGCTGAAGTAGTTTTTTGACAACATTACGTTTAATGAAGGTAGAGGATGTCGCCTCTGGTACCTGAATTTGTTTAAACCTCTGTTGTTTCAGTTTTGTTGTGGTTGTTTATATTATTGTTGTTAATTATTAGAAGGAAACATAAAGGTTTTGGGGGGGACTATTGAGCATTTTTATTTATTTTTTTTGAAACTTTTTTTATTGAGTTATAGTCATTTAACAGTGTTGTGTCAAATTCCAGCGTAGAGCACAATTTTTCAGTTATACACGAACATACATATATTCATTGTCAGTTTTTTTCCTACTGTGAGCTACCACAAGATCTTGTATATATTTCCCTGTGCTATACAGTATAACCTTGCATAAAGTTTTAATTTATAGGAAAAAGAAAGCTGTTTGCCTTAGTGAAAATGCAAGGTTGAGACCACATCATCCTATCAGAGGTGCTCATGTTCAGGTGACGCTACCTGTGTGTGGTCTTCCTGTCCCTTCTCAGGAATGTCAAAAGGAACATTCTCCCATAGGGAAGCCTTTGCTCCAGTCGGTGCTGTGAGATTGTTAGACAGATGAATATAGGAGACGAGGTTTCTCATGACCCGTTTTCTCTTCTCTCCTTTCCAGCTGAACCTTCACAGTTCTTTACATTTTCCCGGGAGCAGTAGAAAATGGACGTATGTCAGGTGAGTTCAGTTTTTAATGACTTATTTATTTTGCAGTGGATTTTATAAGGGCTTAAGTGTCTATACATTAACATGGAAAAGCAGAAATAGAAATGCATAAGATGCATTCAGAGAAGATCTAGAAATACCGTTGACCCTTGAACAAAGGTTTGAACTGCTTAGGGCCAGTTACACGTGGATTTTTTTTAACAGCAAATTCTGCAGTACTGCGCAGTGTGTAGTTGGTTGAATCTGCAGACGTGGAACCACAGGTACAGCGGAACCACATATTCAGAGGATCGACTGTAAGTTATACATAGATTTTCATCTGTGCAGAGGTTGGGCACCCTTAATCTGCCCACCCCCACTCCCCCAGGGTAGTTCAAGGGTCACCTGTACAGATGAATAGCAGAGCAAAGGTGGCATGTGGATATAAATAAGCAGGACCTCTGATATTACAGATTTATCAGAATGGAGCTCCAGATTTATTTGAGGTTTTTGACAGCCGTGTCAGTGTTCATGTCAGACACAGAATACTTCTTTAAAGGTTGACATTGGTGAGAAAATAAAGCCAAATGATTCCTTATTGAATGTAAAGACAATTGAAGATAAAAAATATCTTTTGTTGTTCTTCAAGTAAGCGATTTAGTTAACAACATCCCAGTAACAACCCTAAGATAATGTAGAATGTTGCTTTTACTTGCTCTTCAATAAAAGTAGAAGGTGTAATGCTAAATGTGAACTCGGTCAATTCTACTATTGAGAAACTCAAACACAGAGGTTAAGTTAGACATTTTTTTCTGACGAATCAACTGAATATCCTTAAATTTACTCTCCATAGATAATCTTGAGTACCCATGGTACTTGGGTAGCTCAGCAGAGAGTTTAAAATTCTGTTTGTTGTCTTTCAAATGTTTCAGCCCTTTCTTTCCATTCACACTGAGACCTCTGCACGATGCCTTGATTCCTCTCACTTACCTGTGATCTCCAGTGACCAGAGACTTGATTATAATCAGATCCATTGGGTTTTGTCTAATCCTTTACTTGGTTAACTTTTTTGTAGCACTTGCCTCTACTTCTCGTATTACCATTCTGCAAAGTTTATCCCCTAGTGTCTGTGACACACTCCACGGACTCTGTCCTTCCCCTGCTGATGTCTTCATGGAGTCATCTGGTTTCCCTTGTCCTTTTCCATGGCTCATCCCATTTCCATCCTTGGCCCTTTAATCGTCTCTTTTGCCTCGGAATGACTATCTTTTCTCATTAAAAAAAAAAAAAGCTTAATTGATACTCAATTCACATTACTTCAGCCTTATTTAAAGTACAAAATTCAGTTTTTTTGAGTATGCGCCCAGATGTGTGCACACACCAATTTCAGAGCATTCTCGTTATCTTAAAAAGCAACTGTATATGCTTTAGCTATTCCCTCCTGCAACCCCATTGCGCTCCCTACCCCCAGGCCCCAGGAAACCACTAGCCTGCTTTCTGTCTGTACAGATTTTCTGAGCCACTCCCTGTATTATTTCTTATAGGGCAGTTTTGCCTGTGGCGAGTTCTGGGTTTGTGTATCTAGGAAGGTTTTCTTTTTCTTTCAGCACTTTGAATCTGTCATACTACTGTCTTCTGTCCTTGGGTTTTTGATTAATAATCAGCTTTTCCTACTGTTTGTACATGATGAGTCACTTTCTTAGTGCTTTCAGTATTGTCCCTTTGTCTTTGCCTTTTTGACAGTTTGATCATCATGTGTCTAGGTGTGGATCTTTTACTCCATGTTTATGCTACTCGAAGTTTGTTGAGTTTCTTGGATATGTAGATTACTATTGTATTTAATTATTTGATTGTGGTGTGGAGGAAGGTAAATAGGTTTATTTATTTTTAGAGGAGGTACTAGGGATTGAACCCAGGACCTCTTGCTCTACCTCTGAGCTATACCCTCCCCACCTTGAATATGTAGTTTGATGCTTTTCATCAGATGTGGAGACTGGCCAGTATTTCTTCAAATATTCTTTCAGACTGTTTCTCTCCTCTCTGTCTGGGACTCTCATTATGCATATGTTTGTAAACTTTATGCTATCCCATATTTTACTTTTTGTCCTTATTTTCTCTTTGTTTTTCATACTGCATAATTTCAATGGGCATATTGCCCAGTTTGTTTATACTTTCTTCCACCTGCTCAAATCTACTGTTGAACCCCTCTAGTGAAAGTTTCTTTTTCAGTTTTTGTACTTTCATCTCTTGGGTTTCCATTTAGTTCTTTTGAATCATTTCTGTATCTTTATGGGTATTCTTTATCTAGGGAAATATCATTCTCATCCTTTTCCTTCGGTCCTTAGACATTGTTTCCTTTAGGTCTTTAAATCTGCTATTTTAAATATAACTAAAGTCATCACCTAGTAAGTCTAACATCTGCTTCCTCAGGAGCAGTTTCTGTTGATTACACTTTTTCCTGCATATGTGCCTCAGTTTATTCTTGTCTTGATAATTGGACATTTTAAATAAAATAATGTGGCAACTCTGGGAATCCGAATTTCTCCCCTCCATAGTGGTCATGTTTGAAATTTATTTGTGTGGTGACTTTTATGAACTAATTCTGTAGAGCCTGTCACTGAGGCAGTTGAAGTCTCTACAGAAATTTCCTTAAATGCCTGGAACCAGTAAGTCTCCCAGTTTTTGGTAAGGGGCTTGTGTGCATGTCAGGGCATTCTTTCAGTGGTCATGCAGACAGTTTACAACTCTGCATCAGCTTTCACACCAAACCTTAAGGTCACCTAGAGGTGAGAGCTTAGGGCCTGCTCACATCTTTCCTGAGCATGCACAGCACTGGGCATACGCACAGCTCCATGCATGTGTGTGGCCTTCTAGGCTCTCAGGAATATGTGGGAGTTTTTCAGAACCTTTACGGACATCGCATTCTCCAGCTTTTCATTTTAAGCTTTTTGATGAGGCCATTGTTTGCCCCAGCTGTTATCGATTGCCTCAGGTAGTAAGTTAAACAAATGCCTTTGAGTGCTTTTGACAAATGCCTCTGGGGATAAGACTTTTCGCACTATATGACTCTGAGTTAGCTCGAATAAAGACCTCCAAACAGACCAAATAAAGCATTTTCTTGGAGTGAGTCTTTGACAGAACTCTAGTAGTTACCAGGCTGCTCATTTTAACTGCTTTTGCAGGCTAGTTCTTAAAGTACTTCAGCATTGGAGAGAGAGGGACAGGACAGGGTAAGTTGAAAGGTATCACTTTCTTAGTGTGTTTCAGCCTTTTTTTTTTTCCCTTGTGTAAGTATTCCCTAGGTTGCCTTTATTAATTTCTATAATTTTTGCCCTTTTTTAAAATTGATTTTATGGAGGAAAGAATTTTCTTAGACCCCTACTTCATCATTTTCACTTATATCATTTATTTGCCTAATTTTTTGAATTCAGCTGATTTGTATTCAACCAGATATTAAAGAGATGGGCAAAAATGAAAACAATGTCACTTTTCTCATTAATTTTTTTGTTTTGTTTTGGGAAATACAGTTAACAGATCTTTTTTTTTTTTAGGTTAGAATAAAATTTTATGGAAAGTGTTCCTGTTCTTTTATTTGTTTATTTTTGTTACGAACTCCTAACATTGAGCTTCACACAGAGGAGGTATTTACTCAATAATACTGAAAATGTGAATGAATAAGTAATTGGATAAATAACACTGGGAAAAGGCTGTTTCTGTCCTCTTATTTCTTAATCTAGTTCCATTTCTTTCTATTTTTAATTGTGATAAGAACACTTAGCATGAGAGCTACCTCAGTACATTTTTATGTGTACTGTACAGTCTTGTCTGTACAGCAGATTGTAACGATTTTGTATAACTTAATGATTCTGTATAACTGAAACTTCATACCCAGTGAATAGCTACTCCTCATTTCTCCTTCCTTCCAGCCTCTTGAAATCTTTTCCATGGAAACTTTCCCTTTTCTCAGTTTCTAAGACTCTACCCTCTCATGATTGTATTATTACCCTCCAGAAAACTGCTTTTCCTCTGGCTTTGTGGCCCCTACCTTTTTTTTTTTTTCCTTCCAGCCTCTTTATGTTAAATATCTATTAAATGCTGTTTTTGGTATTTTTCTTTCCTCAGTCCGTATGTGCTCAAGTTGCTATCTAATTGCCCCTGACAACTTCAGTTACCACCTAAATTGCTATGAACTTCTTAATGCTTGTCTTCACCCCAGACCTCCTTTCTGTGTTCTAAAACCAGGTGTGTATTCATTTAAGGGACATTTCCAGCTTTGTTTTCTATAGCCTTTTAGTAGCCACGTGAACAGATCTGTCTCACTGAAACTTCTAACCCACTTTTTCCCCTTTTTTCCCCAAATATCAGTGTTTGGCAGCAGCATTCAAGAAGCTTCTCATACCACTAGATGGGACCTACACAGGAAAGTAGTTGTCAGATTGTTTGCTATTTCTGCTCTCTGATTATATCCCTGTCCCTATATCAGCTACTTAAGTGTAGATTGTATTCTTTTTTTTCTCTCTTTCTTTCCCTTGAAGTATAGTCAGTTCAAATGTGTCAGTTTCTGGTGTACATCATAATGTCCCAGTCATGCATATATATACATATATTCATTTTCAGATTCTTTTTCATTATAGGTTACTGTAAGATATTGAATATAGTTTCCTGTGCTATACAGAAGAAATTTGATTTTTATCTATTTTGTATATAGTGGTTAACCTTTGCAATCTCAAACTCTCAAATTTATCCCTTCCCACCCTCTTTCCCCCAGTAACCATAAAACTGTTAACTATGTCTGCGAGTCTCTTTCTGTTTTGTAGATGAGTTCACTAGTGTTCTCTTTTTTCTTTTCATTTTTTATTAGATTCCACATATGAGTGATATTATATGGTATTTGTCTTTCTCTTTCTGGCTTACTTCACTTAGAATGATGACCTCTAGGTCCATCTATGTTGCTGCAAATGGCATTATTTTATTCTTTTTTATGGCTGAGTAGTATTCCATTGTGTAAATATACCACAACTTCTTTATCCAGTCATCTGTCAGTGGACATGTAGGTTGTTTCCATGTCTTGGCTATTGTAAATAGTGCTGCTATGAACATTGGGGTGCATGTATCTTCTTGAATTAGAGTTCCCTCCAGACATATGCCCAGGAGTGGGATTGCTGGATCATATGGTAAGTCTGTTTTTAGTTTTTTGAGAACTCTCCATACTGTTTTTCTATAATGACTGCACCATACTACATTCCCACCAGCAGTGTAGGAGGGTTCCCTTTTCTCCACAGCCTCTCCAGCATTTATCATTTGTGGACTTTTGAATGATGGCCATTCTGACTGGTGTGAAGTGATACCTCATTTTGATTTGCATTTTTCTGATAATTGGTGATATTGAACATTTTTTCATATGTCTGTTGGCCATTTGTATGTCTTCACTGGGGAATTGCTTGTTCAGATCTTCTGCCCATTTTTGGATTGGGTTTTTTTTCTTGTTATTAAGTTGTATGAACTGTTTATATATTCTATAAATTAAGCCTTTGTCAGTTGCATTGTTTGCAAATATTTTCTCCCATTCCATAGGTTGTTGTTTTGTTTTGCTTATGGTTTCCTTTGCTGTGCAAAAGCTTATGAATTTAATTAGCTCTCATTTGTTAATTTTTGCTTTTATTTCTATTGACTGGGTAGATGACTGCCCTAGGAGAACATTGCTGAGATTTATGTCAGATAATGTTTTGCCTTTGTTTTCTTCTAGGAGACTTACTGTGTCTTGTCTTACATTTCAGTCTTTAGGCCATTTTAAGTTTATTTATATGTATGGTGTGAGGGAATTTTCTAACTTCACTGATTTACATGTAGCTGTCCAGTTTTCCTAACACCACTTGCTGAAGAGACTGTCTTTATTCCATTGTATGTTCTTGCCTCTTTTGTCAAAGATTAATTGTCCATAGGTCTGTGGATTTATTTCTGGGCTCTGTTCTGTTCCATTGATCTGTATGTCTGTTTTTATGCCAGTACCATTCTGTTTTGATTACTGTAGCTCTATAGTATTGTCTGAAGTCTGGAGGATTATTCCTCCAGCTTAGTTCTTTTTCTTAACTACTGCTTTGGCAATTCTGGGTCTTTTGTGATTTCACATATATCTTAGGATCATTTGTTCCTGTTCTGTAAAAAATGTCCTGAGTAATTTGACAGGGATCACATTATGTCTGTAGATTGCCTTAAGCAGTATGGGCATTTTAATGATACTGATGCTTCCAATCCAAGAGCATGGGATATCTTTCTATTTCTTTGGGTCTTCTTTAATTTCCTTAATCAGTGTTTTGTAGTTCTCCTTGTATAAGTCTTTCACCTCCTTGGTCAGATTTATTCCTAAGTATTCTATTGTTTTAGGTGCAATTTTAAAAGGGATTGTTTCTTTACTTTTCCTTTTGATTCATTGTTAGTGTAAAGGAATGCAACTGATTTTTGTATGTTAATCTTGTATCTGATACCTTTCTTAATTCTTTTATTAGCTCTAGTAGTTTTTGTGTGGCGCTTTTAGGGTTTTCTACATATAGTATCATGTCATCTGCATATAGTGACAATTTTACTTCTTTCCAATTTGGATCCCTTTTATTTTTCTTGCCTGATTGCTGTGGCTAGGACTTCCAAGACTATATTTAATAGAAGTCGTGAGAGTGGGCAACCTTGTCGTCTCCCAGATTTTAGTGGGAAGGTTTTCAGTTTTTGACTGTTGAGTACTATGCTGGCTATAGGTTTGTCATAAGTAGCTTTTATTATGTTGAGATATGTTCCCTCTGTACCCACTTTGGTAAGAGTTTTTATCATAAATGGATGTTGAATTTTATCAAATGCTTTTTCTGCATCTATTGAGATGATTATGGGGTTTTTGTCTTTTCTTTTGTGGATGTGGTGTATCACGTTGATTGATTTGCGTATGTTGTACCATCCTTGTGACCCTGGGATGAATCCAACTTGATCATAGTGTATGATCTTTTTCATGTGCTGAGGAGTCTGTTTGCAAATATTTTGTTGGGGATTTTTGCATTTATGTTCATTAGTGATGTTAATTTATAATTTTCTTTTTTGGTAGTGTCTTTGTCTGGTTTTGGTATCAGGGTGATAAAGGCTTCATAGAGTGAGTTTGGGAGTACTTGTTCCTTTTCAGTTTTTTGGAAGTGCTTGAGAAGAACTGGTATGAGTTCTTCGTATGTTTGGTAGAATTCCCCAGTGAAGCCATCTCATCCTGGACTTCTGTTTGCAGGGAGGCTTTGTATTGCTTATTCGATTTCATTTCTAGTGATTGGCTTGTTTAAGTGGTCAGTTTCTTCTTGATTCAGTCTTGGTGAACTGTATGTTTCCAGAAACTTGTCCATTTCTTCTAGGTTATCCAGTTTGTTTCCATGTAGATTTTCATAATTTTCTCTTAGGTTTTTTGTATTTCTGTGGTATTGGTTATAATTTCTCCTTTTTCTCTTCTTGTTTTGTTTATTTGTGTTCTCTCTCTTCTTGGTGAGTCTGACCAAAGGTTTGTCAATTTTGTTTTACTCTTTCAAAAAACTAGCTCTTGGTTTGATTGATTGTTTTTTTTCTTTTTTTATCTCTATTTTATATATTTCCTCCCTGATGTTTATCATTTCCTTCTTTCTGCTGATTTTTGGGGTTTTTTGCTCTTCTATTTCTAATTCGTTTAGATGGTAGGTTAGATTGTTTGAGATTGTTCTTTTTCAAGGAAGGCCAGGACTGCTTTTGCTACATTCCATAGATTTTCTGTGGTTGTGTTTTCATTGTCATTTGTCTCAAAATATTTTTTAATTTCTTCTTTGATTTCATTATTGATGCATTGTTTTCTTAGTAGCGTGTTGTTTAATCTCCATGCTGTTCTTTTTTCTCCTTTGTTTTTCTGTGGTTGATTTCTAGTTTCATGGCATTGTGATCAGAAAAGATGCTGGGAATAATTTCTATCCTCTTTAAATTTGAGACTTCTTTTGTGCCTGAGTATAGATCTATCGTAGAGAATGTTCCATGCGCACTTGAAAAGAATGTATATCTTTTTTGGGGATGTAATGTCCAAAAATATCAACCAAGTCCAACTGTTTTATTGTGTCATTTAGTGTCTCCATTGCCTTACTGATTTTCTGTCTGGAAGATCTCTCCAGTTATGTTAATGGGGTGTTAAAATCTCCTACTGTGGTTGTGTTCCCATCAGTTTCTCCGTTTATGTCTTTTAGTATTTGCTTTTTGTATTGAGGTGCTCCTACATTGGGTGCATTTTTGTTAACGAGTGTAATATCCTCATCTTGTATTGCTCCTTTAATCATTATATAATGTCCTTCTTTATGGCCTTTGTTTTAAAGTTCATTTTGTCTGAAATCAGTGTTACTACTCCTGCTTTCTTGTTGTTTCTATCTGCATGAATTATCTTTTTCCATCCTCTCACTTTCAATCTGTGTGTGTTCTTCTGCCTAACATGGGTCTCTTGTAGGCAGCATATTGTAGGCTCTTGTTTTATTATCCAACCTGCCACTCAGTGTCTTTTGATTAGAGCATTCAGTCCGTTGACATTTACAGTAATTATTGATAGATGTGTTTATTGCCATTTTGACCTTAGTTTTCCAGTTGATTTGTTATTTCCTCTTTGATCCTTTCTTTCTCTTTTTGTGGTTTGATGATTTTCTTTTGTATAATCTTGGTTTCTTTTTGTTTTTTTGTGACGCTATTGTGTACTTTTGATTTGTGGATCCTTCTGCTCTTGATTATATACCTATCTCTATATCAGCTACTTCAGTATAGATAGTATTCTTTCATACTGGTCTTTGGTAAATTATTCTTTGCTCTTCATGAATTCTATACATTTACTTATACATACATGTATACTATCTCCACGACTTACGTGTATCTCTAATGTGTCTCCCATTATTTACAGTGATGATGTCCAAGGAGGGATTGACCATTCTAGGAATCTCTAGAATACCCAGGATAATCTCTTGGGATATAGCAGAAAAGTTGTAAGAAGTCTGTTTACTTTGAATTTTTTTATCTTAAAAAAGATCTGTAACTTCTAAACTTTTGTAAATGAATCATGGTAAGTTAAAAATCTTTGTACCTAATTGAGTAACTCCAAAGTTAAAGACAAATTAGGTCAAAGATAGGCATCCTTTATAATGATTTGTTTTAGAGTCTTAAAAGTAAACAACAGGAGAAGCAGTAGTTTTCAAGGGTGTTTTCTTTGTCACCTAATCCTGAACTTTTGAACAAAATTTGTTGTTTCAGGGTTCAGTGTCATTTGAAGACGTGGCTGTGGAGTTCACCCAGGATGAATGGCAGTATGTAGACCCTGTACAGAGATGTGATGCTGGAGAACTACAGCCACCTCATCTCTGTGGGTGAGCAGACTTTACCAAGTGACTCCCATCTGGAATACACTTCTTTTTTTTAAAATTAGCAAAACACACAGACCTTTTATAGAGATTAATATTGTTTAGGCTTTTGAGTAAGATTTCTAATGTAACTGAAACCTTGAGAGAAACAGAAACAATGGGTCATTTGCGTTCCCGTTGAAAACTTCAAATGAGCACATTCATTTTGCTCCACTTTGGGAAACTAAAAAGCCCATGGATCTGGTCTTTATGTATAGCTTCAGTTGTTATGTTTGCAGGGTATTGCTTTCCCACACCTGAGGTGATTGTCAAGTTGGAACAAGATGAAGAACCCTGGTCCTTAGAGGAAGAATCCCTAAACCAGAGGTATCCAGGTGAGTGAGCACCGACAAAAGGAAATACCTGGGGTATTCAGACATTGAAGGGAACACTGTGAAAGCTTTTTTTCCTTTGAAGCAGCTTTATTGAGATGTAATTCATATATAATAGAAGTCACCCATTTAAAGTGTACATTTCACTGGCATTTAATAGATTCATGGATTTGTGTAAACATCACCTGTCAGCTCTCTTCACCTCAAAAAGAAACACCGTACCCTTCAGCTACCACCTCCCTATCCCATGTCCTCTTCAGCCCTAGCAGCCACTAATCTATGTTCTGTCTCTATAGATTAATTTATTCTGGACATTTCATATAAATGGAATCACACATTATGTGGTCTTTTGTGATTGGTGTCTTTCACTTAGCATTACAAGGTTCATAGTGTAGCACGCATCTCATCAGTACTTCATCCTTTTTATGGCAAAATAGTATTTCATTGTCTGGATATACCATATTTGTTTGTCCATTTACCAGTCTGTAGACATTTGGGATTTCAGCTTTTGTCTGTGATTGAGTAATGCTGACATAAATATTTATTAACAAATGTTTGCGTGTAGATATGCTTTTATTTCTCTTTAGTTTATACACCTTGGAGTCAAATTGCTGGATTATATGGTAACTCTGAGAACTGCCAGGTTTTTCCAAAGTGGCTGCACTGTTCTACATTCTTGATGACAGCATGTAAGGGTTCTGATTTCTCCCTGTCTTTACCAACACTTATTTGACTTCTTTTATTCTAGCCATCATAGTGGATGTGAAGTGGTATGTCATTAAGGTTTTGATTTGCAATTTTTGTATTAGTCAGCTGGACTGGCGTAACAAAATACCATAGATTAAACAACAAATTTATTTCTCACAGTTCTAGATATTGGAAGTACAAGATCATGGTGCCAGTAGGGTCGATTTTTTTTTGTGAGGCTTCTCTTCCTGGCTTTTGGATGACCCCCTGACTGTGTTCTCATGTAGCATTTCTTCTGTGCATGCGTGGAGAAAGTTCTGATGTGTCCTCTTCTTAAAAGGACAGCAGAATCGGGACCCCACCCATATGAACTCATTTAACCTTAATTATCTCCCTAAAGGCCTTATCTCCAGATACTGGGGGTTAGGGCTTCAGCATATTTAACAAATTGTCCATAACAATTTCCCTGACCAGTAATGCTGTGAAGCATCTTTCATCTGCTTATTGACCTTTGACTAAACTAATAAATAATTCCAGGAATTTCGAAAGTTATAATTACAAAATAATTCTTAGAGTAAGTAAATATACCTTCAGTGTGCATATTGGCATTTTATGTTATGAAGCCATTTGAAGAGATAACATAAAGATTGATTAATTTAGATCAAGGCTATCTCCTAGTCACTAAATGTAAATAACTGGATTATACTGATCGACTCAAAGGGGTATTCTCAATAAGTATTTTAGAAAGAGTGTAATAAAAGGATAATAAAAGTTATTACGTGAAAATAAATTTAGGGTTTCATGTTCTGTTACCATTCAAGTTTGAATTTAGGCAGTGCATTAACTTGGAGACCTTCTAGCTCAAGGTTAATTTAAAGTAACCCTTTAAGCATTTGAATGCCTGCACCAAAAAATATGATACCAGTGACCACAAAATAATGGAGTTCTAAGAACTTAAAAATCAATAGGAGTAGGAGATTATTTCTCATCTGATTAAATAATAGATACTGTGGATATTAAATAAGTATTCTTACAGAGGATATAAGTGATAATTGTGTTAAAGTGAAATAAATATTTGTCTATGTGTATGCTGAAGTCAAATAACAAGCCTTTCAAGTTCCCATGGAATATAATCATAAAAGTGAAACTATGGTTAGTCCAAAAAGAATACCCCAGTAAATCCAAGAAATTAAAGTCACAGATAATACTCTCTCAACATGTTTGATAAATCTAGAAACTGGTAAAATGAGTAAACAAATTCTTTGGCATGGAAACATTAAAAATTATGTCTTTAAGCAATAGTATATAAAAGGAAATCAAATCCAAAATTGCATGACATTTATAAAATAATGAGTGTACTTATTAGAAACCTTAGGATACAGCTAAATTAGTTAATAAGTAAATTTTCAGTCTCATATTTATGTTAAATTAAAAACTAACAAGTGTATACTTGTGAAAACAGAATAACTTGAAAGTGAAATTAAAAATTAATAAACTAGGAAACAAATTTTAGAATGGTTCTTAGAATAGAAATCTAATAGATAAAACTTTAACTACCCCCAAAAGAAAAGACGAATTTGAATAATAAATACAAGTGGGAATATATTTGTAAAGATTTAATGCAATATCAAACTTAATCTTACTCATAAAGGAGAGCGATGTGGGAAAGACTTGCTCTTCCAAATATGAAAGCTTCATGTAAAGCTCAGAGTAGTTAAGTGGTGTGGAGCTGGGCGTGGGATAGTTTAATAAATTAGAGAACAGTAAGGAAAGCACAAGAAAATATGTGCTATATAGACAAGTTGGTCTTTGACAGGTGGCACTATCCCCACAGAACAGTAGAGAAAGAATCCTGAGGTTACCTGGTGGATCAAACAAAAAATTTCATTCAGGTAGCTTAAAAACCTGATTATCAGAGCAAAACTAGAAATATTCTATATATGATGAGGAAAATTTCTTTATAAACCAGCTTAAGGAAGGAATCAATAAGATATAAAAAGTATTAACGAGAGGAAAGATGGAGCTGTATTCTTTTCTAATCCATCCGCTAAGTACAGTTAAAAATGTGCTTTTATATTTAGTACATGTATATAAAACAAACTTAAGATGATGAAAGTTGGAAAGAATGAAGATGACCTTAACAATATTCAGTCTTCCAGTCCATAAACAACATACACTTTTCCATTTCTTTAGGATTTTTTTCATTTCTTTTATCAGTGGTTTTCAGCATTCAAATACCAAGTTTTTCTTTCTTTCTTTTTTCTTTTTCTTTCTTTTCTTTCTTTCTCTTTTTTTTCTTTCTTCCTCCCTCCCTCCCTTTCTCTCTTTCTTTCTTTCTTCCTTCCTTCGTTCCTTCCTTCCTGCTTCCCTCCCTCCCTCTCTTTCTTTCTTTCCTCCTTTCTTCTTTCGTACTATGGTAAATCATCATTTACCTGATTTCAGATTCCAGTTGGTCATTGTATATGATTGGATTTTTGTATATTGGCTTTGTATTTTGCCATTGTAAAACTTACTAGTTCAAGGAGCTTTTTTGAAGATCTTTATGTGGTTTTCTGTGTAGACTCCCTTTGTCTTCATTTTTATTCTTGCCTTATTGCATTGATTGAGTAGAAGTGCTGAGAGTAAACACCCTTGTCTTTCTCCCAATCTTAGGGTTAAAGCATTCACTTTCTCACTTGTAAGTATATATGTTAGCTGTAGGCTTTTTGTGTAGATTCCCTTTATTAGGTTAGTGATTGGATTTTCAATCTTGTGAAATATTTTTGCCTTAATTCATGAGTTTGTGGTTTTAAATCCATAGATGATTAATATTATGGATTATATTGATTGATTTTAAAAAAATACTCCCAACAGTTTGCATTCTTGGGATGAATCCCACTTGATTGTGATTTACTATCTCTGTATATTGCTGTGTTCTTTGGCTCCTTTTTTTTTTTCCAGGATTTTTGCACTTATGTCATGAGGGATATTGGTCCCTAGGTTTCTTTTCTTAAACTGTTTTTGTTTGGTTTTGCTGTGAGGATAATACAGGCCTCATAAAATTGTTTAAGAAATAGTTCCTCATCTTGTATTTTTTAGAAGAGATTATGTAAATTTGGTATAATTTCCTACTTAAATGTTTGGTGGAAATCACTAGTTAAAACCTTCTGGTCTTGAAGCTGTTTTCTGGAACTACGTATTTTTTGACCACATACTCATTTTCTTAAATAAATACTGATCTCTTGAGGTTATGCCATTTTACTTGTAGTAGTTTGGTTTTTGGTTTTGTTTTTAATTTTTCGAGACGTTTGTCCATTTCATGTGATTTGTCAGACTTACGCACATAGAGTTTCTCTTAATATTCTTCTGTTATCTCTTTAATGTCTGGTGTGTCAGTAGTTATATCCCCTTTTGCATTTCTTTCTGATACTGATAATGGGGGCTTTTTTCTCTGCTGGCTTTTATCATTTAAAAAGAAAAATATATTCAAAAAAACTAAACTTTGGTCTGATTGATTTTTCCCTGTTTTCAATTTTATTGTCTTCTGTAAACTTTATTTATTTTTGCTTTCCTTAGCTTCAGCTTCTTTTTAACTAGTTTCTTAAAGTGGAAGCTTAGGTAACAGATTGCAGATCTTTTTTTTTTTTTTCCCTAGTATTGGGTATAGTCAAAAAGGTTTTCTCTTCCATTGTACCACCTTTCCTCTCTGACGTTTGGCTAGAAGGAACAAGCTTTTCTTGGAGCTCTTGTCATTGGGTTTGTTTTGCAGGTTTCTCCAGCGTTACAGTACCCTGTATAAGATATATGGAATGCAGAAAGAAAAGCCTTGAACTTCTTACCCTGTCATTTCTTATGTCCTAAAGTCCACCTTCATTTTCTCTTGTAGCATCTTCATTTGTTTTGGTAATTTTTTCCCCGTTTGGTCCAGGAATTTTTAATTGGAAGAGGTTGGACCCAGCTGCTCCATCTTGGCCAGCCCTGGAAATAATACCTATTTTTCTTTTTTTTAAACAACATGGATGAGGAGAGTGTGTGTGTGTGTCTTTCTGTTTATGTGTGAATTATTAAGCTTCGGAAACATGACCAGAAACAGTTGGGTACAGTGTGTAACATAACATATGACCTTAAGTTTCTCTCCATAAGAAATGTAGGACTCATGTTTTCAATTTTTCTCATTTTAGGACGTTACAGAGTTGATGTCCACATTGAGGGGAACCAGGAAAAGCAAGAGAAACCTCTGTGGCAGGTAATACTCATTGATAACAAAATATTAAGTAAAGAACAGCAGAAAGTTTTAGAGAAACCATTTAATCTCTATATAACTCAAAATTCTTTAGGAAAAATGCCCTGTAACTCTGACTCACGTAGAATGAATTTGCCAGTTGTTTCTGAATTAATTATTAGTGGTAGAAACTCTTTCAGAAAGAAGGCTGATTCCATGAATGTGTGTGAAAAGTTGCAGCTGGTTATTCAGCATGAGAAAACTCTTACTAAAGAGCAGGCTTCTGAATATAACAGAAACGTGAAGGCCCTCAGTTACATGAAAGATCATCATACCTTTCAAACTCGGGAGCAATCTTTTGAATGCAGTGAATTTGGAAAGGTTTTGCGCAAGAAGGCTGCCTGTGTTGCAGCTGAGAGTTCACTAACAGAAGAGGAGTCCTGTAAGCATAATGAATTTACGGAAAACTGTGATAAAGCAACTCTTTTTAACCACAGGAGAACTGGTAGAAAGGAGAAATGCTTTGATCTTAATGAATGTAGTGAGTCCTGCGACAGAAGCACTGTTGGGGAATGCGGTGAGGTTCACACAGCTGTGACGCGCTGTGAAGGTAATGAAGGTGGGAATAGTTGGGGCAGGAGTTCACTCCCCACTCAGCCTCAGAGAACTGTTACAGGGCAAGGTGCTCTTGAAAGCAGTAAGAGGGAAGGAAACTTGAGCCACAGCTCTGCCCGTGTAGTACCTCAGAAGACACAAACTGGAGGTAAACTCTGTGTTTATAATGGATTTACAAATGCCTTCTACCAGAAATTAGACCTTACAGTACATCAGAGAACTCACACAGGAGAGAAATTCTACCAGTGTGATAAATGTGGGAAATCCTCCCATCAGAACTCAGCCCTCCGTGTACATCAGCATTGTGACACAGGTCAGAAGTCATTTGAATGTACTGAGTGCAGGAAGTCCTTTTACCATAAAGCACACCTCATTCAGCATCAGAGGATCCACCCAGGGGAGAGATCCTATGAATGTAAGGGATGTGGAAACTCCTTTTGCTCAAATTCGCATCCCATACATTATCCTGGAACTCTTACCGGAGTCAGTCTCTATAAATGTAGTGACTGTGAGAGAACTTTTGCTGATAATTCAACCCTCAGAGGACATCAGAGAATTCACACAGGAGAGAAACCCTTTGAATGTAATGACTGTGAGAAAACTTTTGCCCATAGTTCAGCCCTCAGAGCACATCAGAGAGTTCACACAGGGGAGAAACCCTATGAGTGTAATGACTGTGAGAAAACCTTTGCCCATAGTTCCGCCCTCAGAGCACACCAGAAAATTCACACTGGGCTGAAACTGTACAAATGTAGTGAATGTGGGAAAACTTTTTCCCAGAAGACACACCTCAGGACACATGAGAGGATTCACACAGGTGAGAAACCCTATGAATGTAGTGAATGTGGGAAAACCTTCTCCCAGAAATCATACCTTAGTGGACATGAGAAAATTCACAGAGGGGAAAACCTTACGAATGTAATGAATGTGGGAAAGCTTTTGTCTATAAGGCAGCCCTTATTGTCCATCAAAGAATTCACACAGGAGAAAAACCTTATGGATGTAATGACTGTGGGAAAACTTTCTCCCAAAGGACACACATTTGTGCACATCAGAGAATTCACACCGGGGAGAAACCTTATGGATGTAATGAATGTGGGAAAACTTTCGCTGATAATTCAGCCTTCAGGGCACGTCAGAGAATTCACAAAGGGGAGAAACCCTATGAGTGTAGTGAATGTGGGAAAACTTTTTCTAAGACATCGCACCTCAGAGCGCATCTGAGGACTCGCACAGGGGAGAAACCCTATGAATGCAATGAATGTGGGAAGACTTTCTCCCAGAAGTCGTATGTTAGTGCACATCAGAGAATTCACGCAGGGGAGAAACCTTATGAATGTAATGTATGTGGGAAACCTTTTGGCCATAATTCAACCCTCAGGGTACATCAGAGAATTCACACAGGTATAAAATCCTACAAATGTAATGAATGTGGGAAATCTTTCTCCCAAAAGTCACACCTTAGTGCACACCAGAGAATTCACACAGGAGAGAGACCTTATCAGTGTAATGAATGTGGGAAAGCTTTTTCCCAAAATTCAACTCTTGGGGTACATCTGAGAATTCACACAGGGGAGAGACCTTATGAATGTTGTGAATGCCAAAAAGCCTTTGTCTGTAAGGCAGCTCTTAGAGTGCATCACACCAGAATGCACACCAGAGAGAAAACCCTTGGCACGTAGTGAATTTGGGAAGTTCTGAAGGAAGTTATACCTTGTTAGACAGCACAGTAGAGGACCCCATGTCACATGGACTGGCAAGTTATTTCCCTTAACTGTTTTCCTTTTCCACTGGGTATATAGCTTGTCTTTCCTTCATCTGGGTGGGGCTGATCATAGAGTGTGATGCTGTTACGTTTAAGCTAAGTCTGACCTTAATAAATCACCTTAAATTCTTCCTGTCCTGTGTTTTACTGGAATGGAGAGCTATCCATGGCAGACTTGAGTGCTGTGTATTGAACATGGTAGAGCACAGGATGGAAGAAGGTAGAGTCAATAACTGGGTGAAAGGAATCTCCACTGATAGACCTTTACCAATTTTTTTTGAGCAAAAATTAAATTTTTACTGTTTGGCTGTAAGGATTTTGGTATATTGGTTAAGTGCACATAGCTTAGCCAACTCTGTTAGAATTGGGTGAAACCCTATGAATATAATAAATGTCAGAAGACGTATAAGAATTTAGCTTATCATTATATATCAGAGACATTACATGGCAGAAAAAATGTCTGTCAGTATCCTGAATGATCAGAAACCTTAAATAAAAATCAGAAACCTCAGGGAAGAATACAAAAAAGCCTTTTCTGCAAAGTAAACTTCATTGAACATCAGATAATTAAGATTAGACTAAAATCTTACATTTTGATAAACTGATAAATAACACTTAACATAATACTGAGTTTGCTGTAGATAAGTTTTTTTCTGAGGAAATGTATCAGTTTCAGAATTGAAGATAAAATTCTCAAGTAGAACTGTTGTACTAGAAACTTGTATTATATGTAATACCAAATTGTTTAGAAAATATGTAAGAATATTTACAAACTCACTGTGGAATGTGATGTTTTTAAAATGGAAGAATAACTTGAATTCTGTGGTCACCACCAGTATGTGTGACCAGTCTCTGAGCTATGTGGTACATATATATGAGTCTATGTAACAGAATCCATTATTGATGGTGAGTTCTGTTAGAAGACAGTAGCTAAACCTGCTCTGGGCCTGTCCACTTTCCTTTTTTTTTTTTGAGTGACTGTCCTCCTTCTGTTGGCTTTGCTCTAACAGCTTGATGCTAGATATAGCGTGGCCTGCCTACTATGTCTGAATCTGGTTCTGTTTTTTCTAGAACACTGGAGATTCATGAAATTTTCTAAGCATTCTTGTGTGTATGTATGTGTGTGTGGGAAGGAAACCATCTGCATCAGCAAAAGGCTTGTTTATAGTTTTCTTATCAGATGAAGGCAAGGGTGAAATAAAAGTTGATAGGGAAGTCATTTGGTGTAGATGCATTCCTGTGAATTAGGCTAAAGCTCAGTCATGCAGAAAAGGGAAGACGATAGGACTGCAGGCCTAAGATAGAGCCGACAAAATGGAGTCAGTGTGGTTCCATACCTGATAATCTGTATGGCCCCAAAGGGCATCTGAATCTAAACTAAGAGAGAATATTATACACTTGTTCTAAGTGTTTCTTAGTGCACCAGAGCTATCTTAGATTCTTCCCTAATGTAACAGTTGCTTATTGGCTCCCCTCAATTCAGCAACAATCTCACATTGCCCCCATTTATATCCTTAAGTTTAAAATAAACATTTCTCGGTGATGTCATTGATAGTGATAGCGATAGTGATGGTCACAAAATGAGATGACTAGGGCTTCCTTCTGAGGTTATTCCCGGTCAAAAGGGTTGGGTTGTATAAGGACAGAGAAATACGGCTATCTCTTCCAGTAGGCAGCAAACGTGCATAGTCAGGCCCAGCTTGGTAAAATAAAGATTATCCAAACCATCAATCCCTTTGGAATTCTTGCCATTAATCACAGTAATAGACATAGGCTTTGGTTTTGGAATGTTTCCAGGGTCTTGGACTTTAATTTTAGCCCCACTATAGGGACTTCCAGATCTGGCTTTGAAAAAGAAAATTGTGAAATAGGGATAAATTGTACATAAATTCTTTTTTCACTTCGTATGCTAAGGACTGAATGTGTCCCCTGAAAATTTGTATTTTAAAGCCTTAATCCCTAGTGTGATGATATTTGAAGTGTGGAATCTTTGGAAGATAATTAGGTTTAGATGAGGTTAGGATGGAGCCCCTATGATGGGATTAATGCCCTTATAGGAAGGTGCAGAGACCAGAGCTCTCTCCTCCGTGTCAGCACCCTGCTCTCAGACTTCCAGGCTCCTGAACAGTGACAAATAGATGTTTGTTATTTAAGCCACCAAGTCTACTTATTGCAGCTTATCTAAGACAGTCTATTTATTCCATCTACCCAATACTAACACAAAAGCATAGTAATTTATCAAATCAAGACCCATCCTTAATCCCCTCATGTTAAGTTGCAAAGCACAACACTGAAGGTTTGTAGACCAGTCCTTTGGTCCTTTGTCACCACCTGTCTATTGAAGCAGATGTTTTAGTTGCCCATTACAATTGTTTAATAAACCATTACTTTGAAGTTAATAGAGAATATAATGTTTCCTTCCCCATTGTTGCACTACATGGGCAATAAAGTGAATACCTTCATCTGAAGAAATGTAACCAAGAGGATAAAGTGATGCAGTATATTTTATGCCATTTCTTTGATAATATTAGAAGCATTGGCTTTAATTATTGGGCACTTGAAGCCAAACCCAGAAATGGTAGCAGGTTTTGTGAGTATCCATTTAACACCAACCAGAGCAGGAAGTACTTGATTGCTAACTACTGGATATTCTTATGAAAATTCAGCTGTTAATCTTGTGTGGATTCCCTTGTATGTGATAAGTCATTTTTCTCTTACTGCTTTCAAAGATTTCTCTTTGTTTTTAGCTTTAACATACATAATTTAACTGTGATGTATCTTGGTGTGAATCTTTTTGTGTTTATCCTACGTGGAATTTATTGAGCTTTGTAGATGTGTAGATAAATTTTTTTTTTCTCAAATTTGGGATGTTTTCAGTTATTATTTCTTCAGATTTTTTTCCAGCTGCTTTCTCTCTATCCTCTCCTTCTGGTACCTCATTATGCAGTTATGCATAGGGGTTGCATTTAATGGTGTCCCACATTTATCTGAAGTTCCATTCATTTCTGTTCTTTGGATTATATAATTTGACACAATTCATCTTTCAAGTTCATTGATTTATCTGCCAGTTCAAATCTACTGTTGAGCCACTCTAGTGAATTTTTCATTCAGATAATGTGCTTTTCAACTCCAGAATTTCCTTTTATGATGTCTTTCTCCTTATTGGTATTCTCTGTTCTTGAGACATTGTCATCATATCTGCTCTCCCTCCTTAAGCATGGTTACCTTTAGGTCTCTGAATGTATTTGTATCGCTGCTTTGCAGAACTGTCTGCTAGCTCCCACATACGGGCCCTCTCGCAGGTAGTTTCTATTACTTGAGTCTTTTTCCTGCATATGGGTAACATTTTATTTCTTTGCTTGTCTTGTAATTTTTTTGAAGTGGGTATTTTTGATATACTGTAGCCTCACTGGCTACTGATTCTCCCACCATGGGGCTTTTTGTGTTGTTTGCTTTTTGTTTTAATGATTTGACTGAACTATTTTATTGAAGTCTATGCCCTCACAGGGTCTGATGTGACCTCTGATGTCACTCCTCAGAAAACATTGTTTTAGCCATGTGCCCAGTCACCCTAGGTGACAGTGGTTTTAGCAAGGCCCCCTTTGTTTCTTACTCTGATTTCTCTTTTAAGGTGTTTACCTCCGTTGGTGTCACACCCCACTGTTAGCTAATTCCCAGCAATTAGTAATTTCGACTCATTTCCTGTTGATTGCCTTATCAATTTGTGACAGTGTTCTGGGGCATAAATTGCTTCACAGCCTGATCCCCTCTTCAGGAGTAGTTTTTGAAGCCAACCTTTGAGGTTTTTTCCTGACCCCAGGAAAGCTTTTCTTAGTTGTCTCTTTCGCTAGTCTTCTTTGGTAAACTAGCTAGCCTATACTTTAGCTTGCTGTGGTCATAGAACTACATGTCTCCTCTTAATTGTTTACTGCCCAAATCTCCATTTCTTTCAAGAGTCTGCTTAGGTTGAAGCTTCCCCATAATATGTTAAAAATAAAGTCAAATCTTTGGGGGGAAGCTTAAGAGCTGTCTTTTTATGGCATGTTTCTCCCCTGCTAGGGAAAAAGATCTCTGTACCACTGCTTCAGAGCTGGAGCTGGATATAGGGCTCCTCTTCTCTTAGACAATATCCCAGCTTTATGTGGGAGGTGCTGGGCTGGGGAAGTAGCCTCTGGTCTTCTCATCTTACCTCTACCAATATGGGACCCCTGTCCTGTGAGTAAGGTTGGGGTGAGAGCATCAGGGTCCTGGTATTTTCAGCCTACCATGCTTGGGAAAGACCTTTTGCTCTATGAGTGTTGGCTGAGGGAGGAGAAGGAAGCCCCTAACCTCTTGGATGCACTTCCCTGGAATTTAGCCTCTGTGACAAGGAGCTGGGACAGTGAGCTATGCTAGTGCTTGCCTCCCAAGGAGATACCATAACCCTTGACTGGAAGCTCGGGGTAGAGGGAATCCATCTTCTTAGCTACACCCACCCAGAGTGGAGCTTCTGTAACACTGAGTAATGAGGAAGGACTGGAGAGAGGGAGAGGGTCATGGCTCAAGTTCTAGAAACTAACTACTGAGATTTTATAGATTTTCTTGAAGATATTTTTCTTCCTTTTCTATATATCTTTTAAGATAATATCCGGAGACTTTAAAAGTTTTTTTTATTTAAATAATTGTAATTGGTTATGGTTGTTTCAGTGAAAAATATTTAATGAAATGTATCTAGATACCAAAATTCGAAATATCTGATACCCAGCCAAGTATTAGCAGGAATGCCAACAAGAACAAAAATGTGACCAATAATGAGGATAAAAACTAATCACTATAGAAGACTCACATGACACAGATGATAGAATTAGTAGACCAAGGATGTTTAAAAATCTTTTGTATTACCTGCTATTTAAGTTTCAACATGTAAAGAGATTAAAAATTGTCATTCCTGTCCTTTTAACACTAAAAGCTGAAGGAAATGAAAATCAGATTTTCCCCTAAACCCTTCAGACAACTGAGGTCACTGGACACACTGTCCCTCCCAAATCAAGAGAGACAGGCACTTCCAGAAATAAGGTTGAGATTTTCTTACCAGGTGCAGAGGCCACAGGAGCCATAAGCTGATAGGAATACTTAAATGGTAACTTTGATG